CTGATCCGAGCACTTCGAATAACTAGTATTATGTTTTGCCTCGTCTATTCGTTTTTTGAGTTTTGCTTTAGGAATTTCAATTATGAAGTTGTTCAAATTGCATGTTTGTTTTCTAAGGACTTCGTCTTTAGGGTCAACAGAGATTTCGAGTGATCTGCGACAAAATGTAGTAATTTTAATGTGTTAATCTTTATCAGTGCCGTTAAAATTATCACTAAAATATCAGTGCAACAAAAGCAACTGCCCAAAATATATTTTGGCGTACCAGGAATACCAGAACGGCTCGGAATCTCAATGTATTTCACGGCTGCTAATGACGTTGCCAGTGGCGAGCTCTGCTAAGTGATTCGATCCCAGGTGGCATACTTCGATGGTCATTCAGTTCCTTGCGGAACCGCTCACGAATGCGTTTTGTTCACCTGCTGTCAGTATAACCGGCAACATGCCATCCATCAGATTTTACTTTCTTGCTTGGTTGCCATGGCATTCTGCTGTTTTTAGGATCGCAAGGCAAAAGTAACATTATATAAAACTGCTGGTGCTCTATTGCTGTATCTTTTAATTTTCTCGGTCATTTTCCGGCACGTGTTCATTAATAGGATTTGTCGCCTTGCGACATATTTATTATTCAATTATAGTAATGGAAGGCGGCGTGTGGCAGGAGGAGGACGAAAGGGAGGGTGAGGAGAGGGGGTGGTTAACAAGGCTGACTTAACATATGGAGCAACGGCTTCGACAGGATCCAGAAGGCTGCAAGTGGATTATAGGGGGGCGCTGGGAACCTGTTCCCAAAAACAGGTCATTAAAACGTCCCTGTTGTTTCACTGCGGCTACATAATAATTCTTTTCGAAACTGATCCGTTTTAAGCGTCGCGGTAAGGTCATATGCGGGTAATACGTGAAAACACCGATTTCCAGAAATTTCTGCACAAAAGAGTAGTTTGGTGAGCTTTCGATAAACAAGGGCGCATCCGAATTTCGCTGTTCCACTCATTCTAAGTGGCACTCGTATAACATAACTCTCTATCTTTTTGCTTTCTTTTTGTTTCCCTTAGCCTGTCTCCATTTTAGTCTCATTCTGCCTGTTCTCCTACAACTTGGACGAACCCGCGGGAGAGTTCAGCTTGTGGAAGTATTGCACCAACATCACTAACATAGAATACCCGCAACGGCTGTCTGAATGGTTCTGGTATTTATACGTTTTTGCGGTGCAGCACTATAGTGCTGCTACAGAGAGAAAAAAGTATTTTGGCAAGAGTATGTGTGTGCGTGTTTGTATTTTTTGCCATCCGTTTTCAACTCGAGAACCAGAAAAACTAGAAAGCTGAAAGCTCGGCAGTATGTGCCCACCCTTTATGCGTCCCTCCCGCTTTAGTATTGTCACTCGCGTGTGTCTGGACTCCACGCAAAGATGCCCCAAAAAAATACGATTTTTTGGCGGGAAAGAGATCGCGTAACCAGGCTAGATGAGAAGCTCAAATTTTAAGGGGCTGTTCCCTGTTTGCGTCCAAATTAAGTTTAAAATTCAGCTCCAGTTATGCGTGGTTCTTACGTAGGGTATGTAAAAATTTTGTTTGGAAAACTGTCCACTTTATTTTCTTTTATGCAAACTATACAATGATTTATGCTAATGAGTACAAACGATAAATATAAAGCAAAAACCATTCACAGAGTTAACGATCTGATTGCTTCAAATCTAGTGCGAAAAAATATGTTCGCACCGGCGAGCTTGGTGCATTTCAGTCTCGGTTTTGGAATACTCATGCATCTACATGAATGTAACGCAAACTTGTCTCTGCGTTATGTAAATAATAATTAATATTTATGAGTTTGCTGCTTATTCATTTAACATGGAATTATGAATGTTATTCAAGAAAAATCATGCACGAAAATAATTAACTGTTATCGACCTTTAAAAACTAAATTCACAGGTGTATTCATTTTTCGTTGTTGCATTTTTTGTATGGAAAACAAGGATTATTGTTGCACAGTAATTTTCATTATCAGTGTGCTCTTGTCCTCTCAATTATGAACCATATCACTAATTTTCATTACTGCCTTTAAAGGCACAGTTTATCAGATTCACAGTTCATTCTTAAAGTTGCAGTTCCACGTTGTCCCTACCTTTTTACCGCTTTTTTGGAAGGCTCCGATGCTACAAGGTCTGCCATCAGTCGCGTGGATAACTCTGTTTCCGGAAAAATGCTGCAGGCAGCCTGTCGGCAGTCACTATCATCATCGTCATCAGTGCCAGAGGCATCATCAGTATGTCCTATTCCTGCTACACCGACGCTCCATCATCCAAAAAGAGGGGTGAGGAGGAGGAAGGGGAGGTATTGGCGTACGCGTCCTGTGACCCGAGGCGGAGCAAACTGATCAGTAGTTGTTGTAGTAGTAGTTGTCCGACAAATCCACAAGCTGTACCGCCGCAATTGTTCAGTGCGCTGGTTCTTCCCTACTCTCTCTGTCCCTCCAAAGTCCACTCCGTGCCGCTGCCCTGTCGTTGCTCTCCGGTATACAGATGATAGAAATTTTGCCGAGAAATACCTAAAATTTGGTGTGCTGGGGGTTTCGGATACCACTGGTCACCCCCTTAACAACAGCGTGTTTTCTTTTTCACACACATACACACCCACATACAGAGAGCGAGATTTGTCTGCCAAATTTTCATCCAATTTCATTTCTGTCCATTCGATTCTCTATAATTTTTCTTAATATTACTTCTGGAACAATTACTGTTTCGTCCATTAATATTATTACTGCGACAACTAGGAAGCCGCTCATTTTTCTTGCACTCTGACGAGTAACTTTGTTAACAAACTTTATTACCCCCAAGCCTTTTTCAATCGAAAGATTTCGGAGTGCCTTTTGGCATATCATCACTGTTATTATCGTTACTGTTATCGTTGTGTCATCCTTCCCCAGTACCATTAATTCAATTATCACAAATCCTAGAACAGCTGCGAAAAATCTAAATCGTATTAATTTTACGTCAAACATTGCTGCTTTTAATAACATCGTCATCGCCACCACTGCCTTTAACAACAGCGATTACCATTAGCACCATTATCTTTATCACCATCACCACCATCGGCAACAACAAGTGGATTTTTATCCATTTGGCATCGAGAACTCCAAAGTGATTGTCTGAGCGATCCTGATGATTTTTTTTATCAATTCAATCATTATGAAAATACTTAAATTTGGTAACAGTACTGATCAGATTGCTGTTAAAAACGCGTAAGCTGTTAGCTGATCGTACTGGTGTTGCTCCGTTTATGCGATCGGCACCAGAACGGGGAACATGTGCGATGTTCGGCAACCACTGTTGTTCCTTCAATCATCATCATTACTGTCATCATCATCGTTATCACCATCAGTACCATCATCATTATCATTGCCATTTATTCACTGTTATTGCTGTTGTTATTATTACTGTTGCTACTAGTAATGCTGCCAAAGCCGCCCAGCTTGGTGATGCGGCACATCGATCCTGGTTAGCTCCCGAACAAGATGATGATCCTTCTCCGCACGGAGATGGTGGACCAATCCAGCACTATCCAAAAGCTGCCGACACGGATAATTTCGACCAGCGATTGCTCGATTTTGCGGTAAATTCAAGAAGACATCGGAAATCAAAGGGTTTGCAAGCGAATGATGTGCAAAATGAAGAAGACAGTTCGGCAGTGGTCACATCCGTAGATTCCGATGAGCAGCAACAACGCTCCCACCATAGTAGGCACCGTTTTGTGGAACCTCGCTACCCAAGCCGAATTACAATCCGCACCGCGAAGGGCCATCCAGTATCGTCAAGACAGAAGAAACGAAAGCAATCGAGCCTGCCCCAGCAGCAGTCAAAAAACCTCCTAACACCGCTAGCCGCTGGGCGTTTATCAATGCGGCGTCACGACTGTGATGGTGCTGATTGCTTGAAAAACAACCGGGCAGTATCGTTGTATGTCCCGCCAAAAAATAATACCCACGGAAAGCGACAGCCACCGTTGCTGCTTCTGAGTAATAATCCAGTAAAGGGCAGGGGGAAGAGTAGCTCGGACCACAACAACGGTAGCACCAGGGGCACCAGTAGCAAAAAGCGACATCGGCCACACGAAGGCGCACCGCGGAAATCATCAAGCCTGCACACCGGACTGGAGGTACTGGGACCCGAAATCCACCAGACCCAGTCTCAGCTCGGGGCATCCTACTACACTTCGTCTAGGACCAACTCTTATCAACCACCGAGATACGGTGGTGCAGAAGGCAAATCGCTGGAAGAGCAATCGCTAGCACCGCCACCGTTCGCCGGTGGTGCCGAATTAACAGATTTCATACAACCTGGTGATTCAGCAACAACAACGCGCATCTATGACGTGAGCCAAATTTCAGTTCCGAAACGCCGTGGTAGTGCAAAAGCTGCCGGAGCACCACTTGCTTATTATGGTGCCAACAGACTGCTTCAGCACCGCCACCAGCAGCAGCATCCGGCAGCACCGCACGAAAATCGCAGTGCCTACGGTGCGTTACTTCCAGCACCGTTGCTACCGCAGGAAACCGCTTCTGATTCACATGCACCTGCAATTCCACTGTTTCAACAACCTGCACATTCAATCTATTCCACATATCCGGCCCAAAGCCCAGGACCAACGCCACCACCGCACTATCAGCCGCGACCGGGATCATCATCACAGGTGAGTGTTCTCTTGTTTTATTATCATTTATTTTTATTGATATTCATTGCACACTTCATATTTTATTCAATCGCCAAGCAGAACACATATCTAGCATGCACACATGTCATGAGCTTATTATATAAGAAGTGAAACATAAAAAAACAAAAGCATTTCAAAGTGTTTAAGACCAGCGCAAAGGAAAATTAGCACTTTTTAACGTACAAAGTCTGCGAAAAAAAGGCCAGAAAGCAGGACCCTTAATGCTGTTAGTGAACTTTTCAACGGGATGAAAACGAACGAATTTCATATCAGCTGTAAATACCAAATGGAGGCATGCAGCCCAGGACCGAAGAGATTTGCAAAGCTGCGCCCGTTGGTTGAGAGCATACCAATAATACCACTAACATGGGATACCTAACTGATTGCCGTGGACAGTCTTTGCATGCTTGGCAATTTATATTCATACTTGGTACTGAAAAATTCGTAGTTGAACATATAAAAAAATTTTTTGCGTCTCTAATTCTTGTTTTATCTGTTGGTTATTGTTGCTAGTGGCTGGTGCTTTTTTTTTTCAGCTTTTCTTATCCGGGCTTCTCAGGAGCAAACATGCTAGATGGCTCATATTTCCTCCGCCGATTTCATTGTTTTTTTAAAGTATTTAAGAAATTCTCCTATTCCCCTTCCTACCACGGCCAAAATTTTTGTCCAAAACTTAAGGGCCCTGCCATGTCTCGCAAAAGCAGTCAAATTTCCTGTGGTTGACAGTTCTATATGCTCCAGCATTTATGAGATCCTCAAAAGTTTCTGCATTAAGATTTACTTATGATGATTCTGCTATACGCTTTGCTTACGCTCTTCAAGCGCTTCTGGATTTATCTTGCTCTTCGGCATACTTTGAGTAACATACAAATGATGTATCAAAGTAAATTTGTTATTATGAAATTTGCACAAGCGCACTTTTCTGTAATTCTCTTTTCTCCTTTTTTGTTTTCAAAACGTACGGCAGGTTTTGCTTCACTTTTTACGTGTTTTAATTAGTGTATAAAACGTTTGGGAAGGAAGCCACCGAAGAGTTGGCGAACATGTGTCAGACAGACGGTGGGTATTAACTAAAGGCATGTAGGCCAAAAACCAAAAGCCTGGCGTAGCTGCGTTCGGCATGTGCGAGTACCCAGTAATATCACTAACATGGGATTTTCGCACCGGTAGTCTGTCTTGTATCCTTGGCGATGAGTAAAAACTAATGTTTCTTTAGTTTACACTCCGCATTACTGCTTCTTATTTTTCGACCTACAGATATCATTCATACTGCTAAAGCGAGGTTTTTAGGAAAGACCAAACTTAAGATTCTAGGACAGACCAAACTTCAAAGAGGTTTTTAGGACAGACCAGACTTGAGGCTACTTGATTCCAAAAGATGAGTAATTCTGATTCTTGCAAAAACTGTGAAGATTCCTCGTGTAGGTGTTCCTGAAATCGATGTATTTAAAATTTTCGAATAGATGTTTAAAAGATGTTTTTGAAATTTTTCTCCAAAAATTCGTATCTGAGAATGTTTTCTGAAATATCTATGATTTGAATTCTTCTCTTAGTGTCCTGATCTGTGGTCTCAGTATCAAATTCAAAATTCTAATATTTCAAAACTGACAAAATTGAATTCAATTGAATTCGGTTGTATCAGAATGGAAGCACGACTTCAATACTGGAACACGGATAGTGAAAGAGGAGTGTTAACGAGGAATATTATATATCTCATATATGTTTTGAAAACTGCTTCAACCACCTGCCTCGCCTTCTCTCCTTCATTTCTTGCATCCCGCTGTACGCATGTACACCATCTATCACCCAATTTTTCACGGACGGGCCGTATTTTTGCTGTCAATTTTAAACCTGATTTGAATTCTTCTATGTTTTTTTTTTTTTTTTTTGAAGGTTGATGCTGTAAAAACAGCAACGTGATTTTTGTGGGAGCTGTAGTTGCGAAGTTTTGTTGACAACTGAAAGAGAAATAATAAGTGAAAATGGCTCAGATTTTTTTTTCCTAATTTTGTACCAAAAATCAGTTCATTTGAAACTGGAAAGGTTTTAGACACTCTGAAAGCTTTAAATACTTTTTCCGAAATAACTTATTGTTCAAGAAATAGCTGTGAGCATCGCAATAACTAAAGTGGGATTTCCACACTGACTGTTTAGTCGATCGTGGTGTTTTCGGTTTTAGCAAAACGAAATGCCAATCAAAACCGCCGTCAGCTTGCTTTTATAGCAACTCTTAAAAAGAAGGAAGTTATTTGCAATTTTGTGACGAAGCGTTGTCTCTGGAACTATTTCCATGGCCTATTCTTTAGGGGATTGCTTACACGCAAGCTGTTAGCGGATGCTTTGAGCACAAGCAGCCGGTATCTTGTTGAGGTGCCGTTACTCCTTGCGATATTGTGCAATGAGCCCACTGGTTTAATTTGATTAGCAAGGAAAAAACGTGCTTTTCTATAAGTAACTGATTCGTTTTGGCGGTAAATTGGTACTCTTGTACGCTAAGCAGTAAAAGCTACTATCAGCGTGTTTCTAAAATACTCGAAAGGAAGAACCATCAATAGCCCTGCAATCCGGCGGCTAGCAGAAACATTAATACTTGGGCTATTTCAGAGTGACTCTGCCTTTGATTGGCAGGGAAATTTGAATGAAATTCTTATTATCACTTCTTTACGTCTATTAAAGTTAAAATGCCTGATTAAAATTTGTATTAATTTTCCACTTCGTAATTTTTTTTTTGCTGCTGGTTGTGGATTTATGGGGGACGGATGAAATCCATTTGTGAGGAATTTTTACCCGAATTTAAAATTACCAAAATTTGCCTATGAACGATGCGATATTAACAGTCTAATGGAAATTAAACTCATTCGAAATCGTAATTGTCGGGCAATTCGGAGGAACTTGCTGAGAGGTAATGCCCTATCTCTTGAAGCAGGCCACCTGCTGTCAGCAGATCCTTTCATGTTCGATGATAAATTCTCGCTCATTTTTCTCCTTTTTCTTCTCTTATCCTCCAAATTGCCTCATTTTTGTTGCTCATAAAAATACCGATTAGTTTTTTTTAAAGGTTCTGCAAAAAATAATTCGAGTTTTTATCGTTACGCACGAATTTTTTCTTCATTTAGCAGAGTTTTGCCTGTCTGTATGTGTATATGTGCTTGTACGGGCATGTGCATGTGCATGCATATATATATACATATATATATATATGCGTTTATAAGTGTCATTAAAAGTGAAGAAATAAAAGCTCAGAAATATAATCATCACAAATATAATCAGAAGTATGAATGATTATTCAGCAGTTACTTCTGTTAAGAATTATTTAAAAAGTTGCAAAAATATGAAGTAGTCCGAGTGGCTACAGATGCTAACAGCAACCATTCGCTGGCGAGGCTGTCAGTGGCTTTCTCGTTTGAGCGTTGTTTACGATCAAGCTGATCGCGGGTTTGGCAGATCCTAGTATTTTTTTTAATATGTATGCTCGTATTCTTTTTAATATGTATCCTTTTTTTAATATGTATCTTTATTCCCACTGTATTGTTAAGGATCTACAATCATCTTGCTTTTAATTAACCCAGCGATGATTGCGCTGCCAGACTTTTGATATTGTTGGCAGCGTATTACAAGTGGATTACTTCCATTTTCCACAGAAATTAATAAAAACTCGGAAGCGAAGTCAAAGAAACTTTCATAGTTAAAGTATCAAAATTCTTGAATTTTTTACGGCCGGGTTTTTTAATTATCAAAATTTGTGTATTTAAACACATCGCTTTCTGCTGCTGGAAAGGCTGCAAATGAGCGGCAAGTCGATTGTCGCTGATTGATGCCTGTTTTTGTATTCAGTTGAAAGTGGAACATTTTGCTGAACCGTAGTCCGGAATAAACTCCTTCTGAGCAACCAGAGAGAAAGAGACAAGAAGGGGGTGCGAGAAAGATAAGGGAGAAAGGACTGGGATATCGGTGGAGGGGATGGGATCGCTATAGGATTTGTTGATTTGTAAACCGGATTCTATCCAATTTTTGATTTATCTCAGCCCGTTAGTATACGCCTAATCAGCAGTGCAAGCAAATTTGATGACATTTTGTTCCCCGCTAAAAAAAGAGGATCAAAAATGAGAAATAGTTCGGCCGATGAATTATAGCACTGAGGTCATTGGGATGCCTGAAAACTGAAGAATAATTGAGGAAGCCCGCATTTGTTTCTTGGCATTTCTTTGAAACTTTGAAAAAATCCCTTCTTCGATATTCAAAGGCAAAATCTTCGAAGTGTGCTTAAAATGTGTTAAATTAAGTCAAGAAAGCGACAACATTATATTTTAGCATTAATTTCTAATTGGAAGCAAGCGAAAATGACTGAATAGATCAAATTTTGTCCTGAAATACAAGATGAGTTTAAAGTGAACTTGATTTGGCCCTTATACCAAGGATATCAAGATCGTCCGGGATGTTACGGTGATATCCGGCATAAGCCGATCCAGGGGCGGGGTGGGAGCGAAGGCTGTAGGCGCAGTGCTGTAAAAGCCCGAGTCTGTTCATAAATAAAAATAAATAGCAGTGTCATAACTCTATTCCTGGTTTTTGCATAGTTCGAGAATGGGAGAGGTTTTTCTCCTCCTCCCCCTCATTCTTCCTTCCCCCAGAAGTCCGTCCTGGATCCGCCTATGATTCCAGGTTAATGAGGTTACTCACAGGTGCAACCACATAAGGTGAATAGTTAAAACTGCTTCTCAACGGTGCACTTAGAGTTTCTCCAGTCGCTTTGACCAATGCTGCATCACTTGGTAGTTTTAGTCTGTTGGCGATTGCAAGGCTTTAGTCGTTTGCAAATGTCATTGACGTGTACCGAGCATTACCATCTTATTTCGAGTTTCCTCCTTTTCGACTACGAAGTGTCTTATCGATTAAGGAGTTTTGGAAAACAGAAGAAAAGAATGTCATTTTGATCAAAAAGGCGAAAACAAAAAGAGACTGACACTTTCTTATGTTTGAAGGGAAGAGAAAATGTGCCGTTTTACTTTTTTTTTGAGAAATTGTGTCGTTTTTACCTTCCTTTTTGAGAAAAAGAACATGCCGCTCTTGGGATCTGTCGTAGTGAAAGTTAAGCAGTTCGGGATGTATTGGACTTAGATGAAAGTGAAAAAAACAAGTCAAAATTTTACCCGCATTTCTCATCCCGTAAGAGACAAAGGCATTCAGATGTAGTTCCCGTGGTTATACGTATCAGTAACAATCGCATACTGACAAGGTAGATGACGGTTCTTTTAGAGTTGCTTAGAAGCAGCTGATATCGGGTTCGAGTCCTCACGTGCACAGAACTAACATAACATCGAAACGAATCAACAAATCGAAGAAGGATTAGTTTTCCCAATGACAGAACTGTAAAGGCGAAGCCCTTTGCTCGCACAGTCAAAATTACAAAAATACTAAAAGCTGAGTCATCCTTCAACGACATTCCAGCTGAACGCTGGACATCCGATCTCCTATTGGGAGCATCGCGTTTTGACTTTAACTGGAATTTCATCGAAGTATGTCTCAGCTTTCAGTAATTTTAAGATTTTGACGGATACAGAATCATGCCATCGATCATCATTCTGGAGACAACAGTACTGTTAAAGTAGCAGTGCAAAAGTAGTTAAAAGCTGAACTGAAGATTCCCACTTTTACCGGCAGGCACTGCCCTCCAGAGAAAAACCGCAACATTCCAAAAAAGCTCCATCGGCTGCAGTATTTTAGACGAATGCGTGCGGCTCTATGGACCGCAGCATTTCTTTTCACTGACTTCTTCTCCCACCGCACTATTTCATATAGAATTCTTACAAATTTCTTTAAATTATTACGTGCGCTTACTTAGCATTACCTCATTTTTCACTTGCTCCTACTTTTACTATCTTTTATTATCATTACAAAAATCAATTTTTGTTACTAATACGGATAGAAATAAGGATAAAATAATAATAATAATAATAATAACAATAATAATAATAATAATAATAATAGCAACAGTAATAATTACAATATCATCAAAGCAATAACAATACCCAGGCTGTAACGCACCGGGCGGACCCGTGCGATCATGCGTTTTTGCACCGGACTTGAATTATTCAGGTCATAACTGTATGAATGTCTGTTGCTTTACACCTGCCTTTTGCGGTCACTAGCATAAATCACCATAAATTTTGCAAAGCAAATG